TTTGCCTGAAGCAGACTGGGTGGTCTAAAGGATTAGGAGATTTTTTGGAATAATACTTTCCACTGTGTGATATGTACACACACACACACACACACACACACACGCACGCACACGCACGCACAGGATGGTGTGGCATGGGGAGAAGGAGGGTCTGTGTTGCAGGTAAGGCACTCAAAAGAATCAAGAGCTGAGCAAGGGAAGGAGGTTCCATGCAGAGCCTGTCTTGCCGCAGCCACGAGTATCTTCACAGAGCAGAAAGGACCTTAGCTATCGCCACCACCCCTATTCCCACTGCTCCCTCCATGTTAAAAAATATGAAATGAATATAGAGCCAGACACAGGTCTCTGGACTCCGCCTTAAGTCTAGGTCTCTTCATGTTATGTGTGTATGGTGGGTTCCAAGCATACTGGGTTCCTAGGTGTTAATATATACTACTTGAAAAAGTGGTAAAGAAATAAATTATGAATCCTGAGTTTACATCAAAATTAATAGGTTTCTTTACTATAGACATTTTCAGAGACTTTAAGGTACTAATAATACTTTGTAAACCTCCAGGGAAGCATTTTTATACATAGTGTTTATCAAATTTATTTGGCCAAGAAAGCTTTTTTCCAAAAAGCATCTCAAGGGCCCAGATTTCTATAGATAGAAGACCCTTGGGAAATATAAAACTAGGCCATCTTGCCTGTGTCATTTCATATTTTTTGGAAACTTGAGTTTAACTGCTGCTTGATAGTTCACAATATCAGGGGTCCCCAACCTCTGGGCCATGGACTGGTACTGGTCCTTGGCCTGTTAAGAACCAGTTTGCACAGCAAGAGGTGAGTGGTAGGCGGACGAGCCATCTGCAGCCACTCCCTAGTGCTAGCATCATCGCCTCAGCTCCACCTCAGATCATCAGGCATTAGATTCTCATAGGAGCACCGGTCCCTGATTCCCAAAAGGTTGGAGACTGCTGCACTATATGGCTAAGCCAAATTTATGTTTCCGATCCCTAATGGTTAGACATTGAGGTTGGTTCCAATTTTTCAGCATTATTGATCATTCTAGAATGAATTCTGGTTACTTTGTGATCTTCTCAGATTATTCCCTTCAGAAGTGGAATTGTTGAATCGAAGCATGTGAACTTTTTCAAGACTCTCAGAATACTTTGTCCAGTTGCTTTCCAGAAAGCTTATGTCTGCTTATCCTTCTACCAGTTGTTGCAAATGAGGACAGGGTTATTAGCATCTGTCAAAGCTGAGGAGTCTAAGAAGCTCGAAGGCCAATATGTTTTCCCTTATCCTGTAGATAGCCAACAATTAAAAAACAAAAATTCACATATACTAAGGACATAAATAGCCATTTTTTTTGAGGGGACAAATTAGCTTTTCACAATTCCCTGTGCTTCTGAGAGTTACCTGATTACTTTAATTTGATATTACAAATATTCTGTTTAATAGTTAGAGAAGGAAGGATTTTGAATTGGCATCTGTTGTGCTAATTTTCAAAAACTTTTAAGGTGAGGCTAAAAAAATTGTATCAACCTCTTATGATTGTGGGCTTTGTTTCCGGAATAATCTTTTATGTGAGTGTTTTATCAGTCTTCTGACGCCATGGAAATTGAGTTATGTCGTGTTGAGTATTGAGACCGATTGTGGTGCTTTTGTTTTATATTTGTATGGGGAAAAGTATACACATTGTAGGCTAGAAGTGATTTATCCTTTTGTTCTCCACTAATATTATCCTTTGGTCAATGCATTATTGGGTTTCGGAACTGAGATGTGAACTTTTAACTCATCGAACTCCGAAGTCCCTGGCAATAAAGTCATTTAAGTGGCATTACCAACAGATTTATTTAAAAATGATTCCATTTGGAGGAAGGAAAGAACAAGTAATGCATTATAAACAAAGTTCTATTCAATAATTCATGAGACCATTTTAGATTCAGTTCATGGTGTTACAGCTGAAAATGAACTGTCTTAGAAGATGTCCACGATTTGCTCCTCCTTGTGCTTGTGTACCTTGATTTTTGAGATATAAATTTTGTACTGACTCTCCTTCTTGGTGTGTTTGAATGGACCATTCTTGTATGGAGGCTATTTTGAAATAATGTATATAATTGGGCTAAAAGGATACCTATATGCATTTCCTACTCTTAGCAAAGCAGGAATTTTTAAAAAATAACATTGCTCTTTTTCTGTCTGGGCAGGAATTTTAATTTTGTTTTCTACATGTGGAGTGAATTGCCAAAGGGTAGATTAGAATAGACTTATTGATGCCTAATGTTATAAAAAACACACGGTGCTGGGCAGTCAGTGACTATGGAAAGGCACGTGTGGTAAATAGCTTGCTGTTCTCCAGGGAGTCCTGGCAAGTGGCCCAAGCCCTTTAGCTAGGAACTCCTGGGTTCATCCTGAGCTCCATCTAGCCAGATCCCTTGTCTGAAAACCACAGAGGCACCAGGGCAATTTCTCTTCAAATTGGAGACTTTCAGGAGGGCATGGAATTGGCAAAGAGTCACCTGCTTCCTTCCACTCTTGCTAGAGCCACACTAGCATTCTTCAGCGCAATACTGTGATGTGCTTCAGGTTTCCAAATAGGATCACGTCAGTTTGGCAAGTGCTTATTCCATGATCAGTATTGTGTGGGAAATAAAATCGAATGAGCGATTATTTTATTGTTTGCCGGAAAAGCTTCAGGCTCCATCCCTCCTTCCTTCATTCCCTCCCTGTTCCCTCCCCTAATATTACCCCAATAAAAATGACTCCTTCTTTTTAAAACTTAAAAACCATTGTAACAATTTTTGCTACTCAGACTCATAAGGAAAATGTGCAAATCACTAGAAATCCTGCCATTAATATTTTGAGAAACATTATGTTATACCTGCACACAGACACACACCCACGTATCATTTTATCCTAAATTATATTATGCCACATATGCTGCTTTGAGACTATTTCTTTATTTAATAGTATATCAAAGCTTATTTTCCTATAAAAAATCCTCATTATCATTTTAATTATTGTGGAATATTTCATTACATATGTACAGCATTAATGAATTCTCTATGATTAATCTTTAGGTTGATTTTAAATATTTGCTCCCACATATAGGGATGAGTATTTTTGTGTGTGTGATGATCACTCCAGTATATGTTCCTATAAGTGGAATTACTGGGTCAAACAGTATGTACATTTCAACTTTTGATATATATTACCGACAGTGTCTTTGAAGGAAGGTCTCTTTAAAATAAAAATCGTATATATTTAAAATGTATGACATGGTGATTGATGTACATATACATTACTACAGTCAATGCAATTAACATATCTCCTCACATAATCACCTTTTTAAAAAAACGATGAGAGCACCTGAAATCTTTCTTGGCAAATTTCCAGATTTAATACAGTATTATTAACCATATTCATCATACTGTACATTAGATCTCTAGAATTTATTCATCTCACATAACTGCAGCTTAGTCCCTTTTGACCAGCATCTCCCAACCCCCCAAGCTCTTGGTAACCACCACCGTACTCTCCACTTCTATGTGTTTGACATTTTTAGATTATACATAAAGTGAGATCATGCAGTTTTTTTCTTTCTGGCTTATTCCACTTAGCATAATGTCCTTCAGGTTCATCCATGTTGTTGCAAATGGCAGGATCTCCTTTTATAAGGCTGGGTAATATTCCATTGTGTATATATCTACCACGTTTTCTTTATCCATTTATTTGTCTACAAATGCTTAGGTTGTTTCCATGTCATGTCTATTGCGAATAATGCTGCAATGAACATGCGAGTACAGATCCTGCTTTGAGGTACCAATTTCATTTCCTTCGGGTATATACCCCAAAGAGAAATTGCTGGATCATGTGATAGTTTCTTTTTAGGTTTTTGAGGAATCTCCATACTATTTTCCGTATTGGCTACACCAATTAAAATTCCCACCAACAGTGTACAAGGATTCCCTTTTCTCTCTATCCTCACCAACATTTGTCACTTTTTTTTAAAATAACAGCCATATTAACAGGTGTGAGGTGGTATCTCATTGTGGTTTAGATTTGCATTTCCCTGATGACTAATTAGTGATGCTGAGCATCTTTTTAAAGAAAATCCACACAGACTGGATATGATAAATCTTTCAAATATTTAATAAATTAGTAAGTGCCTCACCATTGCTTTTGTTTTCATTTCTTTTATTATAGTTGAACATGTTTTAAAGTATTCATTGGCAATTTCTATCTCTTCCTGTTTATCAATCTATCTATCTATCCATCCATTCTTTGTCCATTTTTCTGTTGAACTGAATTATCTTTTTCTTAATGACTTTCAAATATATACTCTTCAATATATTGTACAATATATTCTTCAAATATATTCAAAGATATTCAAATATATTCAAAGATATATTCTTCAAAATATACATAAAATCTGTATGTATCCTCAGAGTACTTATCCTACTTAGGGATAAATGGTTCTAATGACCAACAAGACTCGCATTGCTCACATTTTGGAATGAAGCTCATCTCTGTCACCATTTGTCATGCCTTCAAGGGACAAAGCCATCCAGACCCGCGGGCGGTTGCTGAGATGTCCTTGCTGCAGTGTTCCTCATTAATGGCTCAGCTAGGGTCTTGTCATCTGTGCCAGACTCCTTATTCTTGCCCTTGGCAAGCATCTTTTTCTTACTGCTGTATAATTCTAATGAGATTGCCCTGGTCAGCCATATTAGATAAATGATGATCAGTAGAAAAAAGAAATTTCATAGGATATTAATATTTAAAATAAAATTTATTTTTGGCCTTTGCCCAAGAGTGAATTTCATAGTCTATAAACCATAAGCATATGTGAGGTTGAGGAGGAAAATTTGTTATTTAATATAAACCCTGGGAAAATTCTAAAGGAAATTCAGTGATCTTATGTAAAGATCATGTAGGATAAAGTTTTATATTTAATTTAAGATTTCATGAGATGTGTTCACTTTGGCTTAAAACTGTTCATTGTTCCTCAACAGTTTCACTCCCTGGCTCCCATGTACTATCGTGGATCTGCTGCAGCTGTCATAGTGTACGACATTACCAAACAGGTAAGAATGTCCCCGTTAGAATTTAGGTGATTTATGGTGATTCTCTGTCTTAGAAAGACCAAAGCAGAGACTTCACTGCGTGAGTCTTGACAGTAGCCTGGTATGAGATTTCATAATGTGGTGAATGGGGATTATGAACACTATGTATTGAGTTTATTTCACCTATATGTAATGAAACATTTTAGTTTATCTGCTAAATTAAATAAACAACAATGAACGGTCGTTTTTAAAATTGACTCTGTTTATAGAGGCAAGGTCATGCCTGTTAGGATTATTCTCTAGAATATTAGCTTTTTAGGAAAAGGAAAACTATCTTTAAGTTTTTCATGTTTTATAATTATAGGATGCTTATTTTCTATTAGTGTTTCAATCACACTGTTTAAAATGCCAAGGAAAGTGTTTATGTATGTATAGTGTGTCTGTCTACATTTAACATAAATATATTTTTAGTGATCACATTGAGGATCTAGGATATCCATCAACAAATAACTGCAATGGTATGCTGACATTTTTTCTCACTCCTGGAGTGCTGACTCAGTGCACAGGGACCAGTAGTTTAATGATTCTTCACAGTTGCGTCCTGGAGTTCCTGACCACTTTTACCTAAATGTGTCTGCCTTGGCTTGTTTCCCAGAGGACAGTTGTGAGTAAAAGGCAGAAAGGAAAACAGGACTCTAAAGTGTGTGTGTGCGTGTGTGTGTGTGTGTGTGTGTGTGTGTGTATTTTTCTTTTCTTTCCTGAAGTAAGTATGAACATTATTTTAGTTCTATGCCTAGGTCCTTTTTCATCTTAAGTCATGGCTATACTTTTAAATTAATGCTATTTATAGAAGAAAATTACTGATAGGACTTTATTCACTTTATTAAATTTCAGTTTTAGAAAAGTGAAACTTTTACAGGATATTGAAGGATAATTTAGCTAATTATGACAAGACAGGTTTAGTATGTTTATCTACATGAAAGTCCTGAAAATACTTTTTCCATTAAATTGTGTTGGGTTTGTATTTCTACTTGGTTGAAATATGTAGGGTTATGTATGAAATACATAGGGTTATGTACATGGGATTATGTTAGGAACCACATAACTCTGTTATGTTGATGGGTCTTTCCAGTGATTGATTTACACTTTGGGTTTAGGACTCATTCCACACCTTGAAGAAATGGGTGAAAGAGCTGAAAGAACATGGTCCAGAAAACATTGTAATGGCTATTGCTGGGAACAAATGTGATCTCTCAGATATAAGGTAAGATGCATTAAATTTTTTTATGTGATTAATATCTCCCATCCCTGAATGTCTACATGCAGAAAGCTGTCATGCCTTGTTGTTCTCAATGTAATAATTTAATTGAGAGTCATTTACTGTGGTGGTCAAGGTGGTATTTTTCAACCAGAGTAAAATTAAGGGGAAATAGTAGAGAAATGCAAATTTGATAGACTACACAGTAATGAATATTAAAATCAGACCTCCTATACATAGCACAGTTATATCTCTGACTCTAGATGTCTTTGGGCTACATGGTTTTATTATTTTTGTTACCTTTTCTGTGACTATTATCATTATTACTACTATCATTTTAGTAACACTTTCGTATGGTAAGGAGAGTTAGATTCTTAACATTTTCATAGCATCCCTGTTTGTTTTTGTTCTAGACTTTAACTTAAGGATGTAGTCAAGTCTATATAATCTCACTATTTTGTTCTAAGATCTGAATATGATGCATCATATATGAAAACCTTGGCTTGTTCCAGAGATACTGGATTATTGAATTCCTTTACCTGGAGAGATGTTTGTAGATACCCACTCCACATGGACTGGAGATTTGTTGATAGCTCTATCTAGTCTGATAAGCTAGCTACTTTTACTAAATAAAACTGTTATGTAAAAAGGAAATAGTGAATTTGTGCTGTCTCCATTCTCCTGTCTAATTTAATACTCAGCAATTCTGGTAGTTGATTTTCATAAAGACAACATCAAGCTTCAGGTGTCTGCTAATCCAAATATGATTAAAACAAAGTTAAATAACAATGAAAATAGATCTTACAAAAGCTCTTAACATGGACTTTGACAAATTAATTACTCGTTTCTTTGGGATTTCAAAAGCTTTATATCACATTGCATCAGGTTGGTTTATGATAACAGCCATTAACACCACTTAATCATTTGTTCTCTGGAGGATGGACAAATCTTCCAACTCCCCAGACTTAGTTCAGTTCCCTACCGTCTTTATTGTGATCCTAAAACAGCTTGCTTGTTCAATTCCCAGCTGAATTGCTTTACCTTTTATCATTATAAGGGAGTGAGGTGGGTGAGTAAAGGAGGCTTTTGCTGAGAGAAGGCGCTGTCATCTGATACCATTGAACTGTGGTAAAAGGCTTGACTTAAAGTGAACTAAGCCTTGTGTATCGTGGAAGAGCTAATGAACTAGAATTTAAGCAGAAAATGATTTAAACTTGAATGGAATTATTAGAACTCTTGGTTACATGGAACTGAAACCCAATAGAAATTAATTTCAGGAAAGAGAGGAATTTATTGAAAGGTCCTGGTATCCACATGGTTAAAAAGAGGGCTGAGTTAGCTCCAGTATGCAATGTGTTCCATCTTAAGTCTCTGGAAAGGTATTGGCCTGGCATTCTCTCTGTTTCCAGTCTAAATTGCCATGGATGGATTTCCCACATTGTGACAAGGCATTGTGGCCAAGGGAGGGGGATTTTGGGTAGTCCAAGAGGATTTTCTCACCACAACCATGAGAATGGGAGGGTGGCTGGTTTAGAAGGGGGGTAGTTGCTAGAAAAATACAGCCTGGGCACATGAAACATGTCTGTGACATGTTGGCTTCACTACTGGCACCTGAAGACACATCATTTCTCGGGGAGGAATTCACCTTTTATGCACTGGTATAGCATTCTCCTCAGCAGGCATTCTGCTTTGTGCTAATCAAGTCCTATATATACAATTTCCAGAATGTCCTGATAGCACAGTCCATCCATCTCACTTCCAACCATAAGTTCACTCACAGCTCCACCATCCCCAATGGGAGACAACCCAAGACTACATCCAGCTACTGCATCTAGTGGTGACATCATGGGGCCACTTTCCTATGAGCCCAGGTTTTTTGGGTAATACCCTTTCTCTTCCAGTTGGCCTCGAAATCTAAGTTTGGCTTCTCAAGAGCCTGCAGTTGTGGTTTAAAGTGTGAAATGTGTATCTTTTGTTATACTCAACATTATTTTAGATGCTACTGATTATTGGATCACGCAGGAAGAAATGACTCCCTTTGCAATTCTCCTTCAAACCTCTACTTAAGTCAATGAAAAATATTAGTTTGATGCTCATAAATTTTTAATTTTTAAACATTTATTAATATATAATTTAAAATTTTAATTTTTATTGAGATAATTTATAAACCATAAAATCTACTTGTTTTAATACACTTTAGTACATTTATAGAGTTGTACAGTCATCATCACATCTAATTTTAGAACATTCCCATCTCCCTACAAAGAAATATCATGCCCAGTTACAGTTACCTCCAATTTCATATCATTTTCTCTTGTGCTTGATTTAGTCTCGTGTTGTTTTGTACAGTAACATGCTGTACAGGCTGGTAGCCTCGGAGCAATAGGCTATACCATGTAGGCTAGGTGTGCAGTAGGCTGTACCATCTAGGTTTGTGTAAGTGCCCTCTATGATGTTTGCACAACAATAAAATTGTCTAATGATGCATGTCTCAGAACATATCCTCGTCATTAAGCAGCACGTAACTGTAGTTGTCTGTAGAAGGTCCTCCACCTTAGGTCTGCTTCCTCTCTCTCTCTCCAGGAGAGAACAACAAGTGTAAAAATAAGTGTTAGAGACTTATTAGCCTCAAGTTCACATGGAACATTCTCCAGGATAAACCATATACTAAGCCAGTCAATAAACCTTGATAAATTTAAAATAATTAACATCATACAAAGTATATATTTAGATTACGATGGAATTAAATTAGAAGCTGTCAACAAACACATGAGGATAGAGAAAAACTGGATCACTCACACATTGGTGGTGTGAATATAAAATGTTACAGCCACTCTGGAAAATAGTGTGGCAATTTCTTTTGAAACTAAATATACAATTACCATATGGCCCAGCAATCGCACTTTTGGACATCTGTCCCACAGAAATGAAAACTTATATTTACACAAAACCCCGCACATTAATATTTATAGAAGCCTTTATATGCAGTAACCCCAGACTGGAATCAGCCCAGATATCCTTCCAAAGATAAATGGCCAAACAAACTGTGGTGCAGTCATACTGTGGAATACTACTCAGCAATAAAAAGGAACAAACAACTGATACGTGCAACTTAGGCGAACCTCCAGGGGAATTATGCTGAGTGAATAAGACCCGTCCCACAGGTTTCATAGTGTCTGATTCCATTTATATAATGTTTTGAAATGAAAATATTTTGGAAACAGAGGACAGATTAGTGGTTGCCAGAAGTTATGGTTAGGGGCAATGTGGGCGGGGAGGGGAGGAAAGCAAGCATGGTTATAAAAGGGCAAAGTGAAGGATCCTTGTCATGTCAGAACTGTTCAGTATCTTCTCTGTGGTGGTAGACACGTGAACCTACACAGGTGATGAAATGGTGTAGACCTTTACATGTGCACACACACATACCCACACACACACGTAGACCAGTAGAACTGAGGAAATCTGAATAAGAAAGAGGGAATAAATGTTTGTGATATTATATTATAGTTTTGCAAAATGTTGCCATATGGGGAACCTGGGCAAAGTGTACAGTGAGTCCCTTAATATTGTCTTATAACTAACAGCAGGTGAATCTACAATTACCTCTATAAAATGTTCAATGAATAAAAATTTGATTGAGACAAAATAATAACTAAATATTAAAACAGCATTATATATTTTATGCATATTGTATGTATTACATATAATTAAATAAAGTTTGGTAAGCACACTGGGGCAAATGATGAATTTATCTCCAGAACAAACAATGTACAAAAGAAGAATCAGATAACAATATTAAAAATTCCCACTTAGGAAAGCAGAAAAAGGGAAGCCTGATGTACTTACTGGTCTGTATCCAGAGTATAAACTTTCTCCCACTAGGCAGGAACAGTCTAATAAATGATTGGGCCTGCGACCCTAATGGGCATCTGCTTGTTGACAGCTTTCCATGGCATTGGAATCAGGTTCTCGGTCAACCAGTCTGGCTGCTCCAGATTTCTGCCTGCTGGTATGATTTTTCTGGGGAGCTAGCCAAATCTCTACACCCCAGACCTTATGTAGAGCTTGACCTTCTTTTGCTCTAATCCTAAAACACTTTGCTCTCCTGTAATTGTCAGAAGACTATTTTATTTTTCATTGGAGAAGGAAAGTATATAGGGGTGTGTGTGTGTGTGTGTGTGTGTGTGTGTGTGTGTGTTTGTGTGTGTATGTGTGTGTAACTGGTCTCATTTAACAGACTTTGGTTGTGTAAGCTTATAAATTCTTAAGAGGAGCTAAGTTTGCCTGGTGTATTTTGAGAGGTTACTGGAATTTAAATGGAATTAACTTCCTGAACTTGACTCAGCCCACTTGAGGCATTAGTGTGTAGAAGTGCTTCATAGAGGAGATGCTCAATCATTGGGTCAGTATGTTTCATATCCACACATGTTCCAGAAGATGGTACAAAGATCTGAGTATACCACTCAGAGTGAAAGGCATTCAGAAGTATCTGGTCCAGTGAATTCAGGACTTGTAGTTTAGTTAGTTTTTTTTAAAGACTCCTGATCTTCGTAAGAAATTTTCCTGAATATCTTGGACAACTCTAGACAAAAATCTCCTTGTGCCCAAATTATTGTGACATTGGAGTAATGTGTAGTTTCTGTGAATCTAAGGTGATGAAGCAAACTGGAATTGGTATATTGTATATAAGAAGGCTGTCCGAAGCTTGCACACAGTAGGTGCTTGGTGGGTGTCACTTTTCTTCTTTCCTGCTACTCATCTTTCTCCCCTGTAAGGATCTGCCTTGGAGAGAAGCTCTGGTAAAAACTCCTGGGGAGGAGAGTGTGCTGTTCCTGATGAGACCTGGCAAACAGGGCTGTCCCCTTCTCCCTGCCATCTGCCGATGCTGAGATAGGGATTGCAAAATTGGGGACATTTTAGGGACACATGGGGTTGAAAGAAAATAAGAAAACCTCAACTGAAACGACTGTGCGGGAGTAGGGTAACAGCTGACTTGAAGAGCAAGG